TATCTGAGAGGGGGTTCAGGGCCTATCTATTTATTACCAGGTTTGAGCTGAAACAAACAGCAAATTTACCTGGTAGTGTTGAGTTTTCTCAGACAGGCATTGTGAGGGGGTCTGGGGTCATTTTAGGAACATGGCCTTATACTTCTACAAGCCATGCTAGAAGTTTGGTCATCTTGGTTCAAAAGTTTAAATGGAGTCATTTTGTGCTGAAAGTTTTTGCAGTTCTAGGGCCCACTCTGGGTCAGGTGTAGGATTTGTGAGGACATTCGCATGCAAATCATCCCCCAAACCCTGAGAGGGCTATTTTCAATCTCTTTCAATAACCAAGGTAATGTAGATTTATAGAAAGAGTTAATGATAATTAATTGGTAGGCATAGGATTTGAAGCCAGTTATATCTTCAAGGTCATAATCTTACTGATTCTCCAAAATTTAAAATCTATAAAGTTGGTAATTTTTTCAGATTCTTGTTTGAAGAAAATTTTTTGATGTGGTATTGTTGTAAACTTACTTCCAGCTTCTTTTTCTGTATTTGTTGTTGCTTTTGTTGTCGTTGTTTTGAGTTGAACATCTTTGTACCATCTCTCTTTTCAACTGAATTAGATCTTTGGATAAAGCCAAATGAAGAGAAAATGAAATCAGTCTTTTATTTTTTTGAATATTTTCTATGCGCCTTAACTTTATTTTCTGCATGCATTCATAATTTTCTCTTCTTCTGTTAGGTTTGAAAAGGGGATGAATAGCAGAGGAAAGAGAAAGACGTGCACATAATTGAATGAAAGCAATGAAGTGCATTTTAAGAATTAGTTAAGATTAGGCAGAATGCTAGGATTTTTAGTTTCACCAGTATTCACATTTTGGACCAGATAATTCTTTGTTGTGTGGGCCTCTCCCATGCATTGTGAGATGTTTAAGAGCATCCCTGGCCCCTCCCACACAAATGCCAGTAGCATCCTCCCCTATGTGATAACCAAAAATATCTCCAGATATTGCCAAATGTCCCCTGAGAGGCAAAATAGTCGCAGGTGACACTGGATGAAAGGGAAAGAAAAGAAAAGAAAAGAAAAGAAAAGAAAAGAAAAGAAAAGAGAAAAAAGAGAAGAGAAGAGAAGAGAAGAGAAGAGAAGAGAAGAGAAGAGAAGAGAAAGAGAGAAGGAGGGAGGGAGGGAGGAAGGAAGGAAGGAAGGAAAGAAAGAAAGAAAGTAGAGAGGAAGGGAGGGGAGGGAAGAGAAGAAGAAAAAACATTCTACTTACTCTGTGCCCCAACTGCTGCCCTGTTTTGGTTAGTAAAGTCTTCTGAATTTCACATAGTGCTTTTGGATCCTGCCCTGTTTCAAACTCTGTCTAATATTCTCACAGACGAGTGGGCCTGGCCTTGGTGTGACCTCATTGCTTGGCCCAGGCACCAGTTCATTGATGAGTTCTTGCTTGTTCAGTTCTTTGTCTCATACTCCAATTTCATGTGGCATATTTGCATTGAAATGCCAGTTTTTCTAGGGACTAAAGTACTGCCCTGCCTCTCCGCCTCTTTGGCTGATCTTCATTTCACAAGTAACCTATGGCCTTGCTCCTTGCCCGCCTCCTGGGGCATTCCCCACAGTCTCTGCTGCCAACACTCTTGTCGCTGTGCTCTGTCTTGTCTCTCTGCCTAGGCCTCTCATTTTTGTGTGGCACTTAATAAATAAAACCCCTCACAGATGTGCTTCAAAAATGAAAGTGCAAGAACTAAAAAGTAGAAAGAGCCAATCCCAGCAAAAGTTGCAGGGACTGGCAAAAATAAAAGAATTGATTCACAGAGACAAATGGGACAAATTAGCTTCGCTGAGGAGACCACACCTTTCTGTAGAAATAACTCCCTGACTATACAATGCCGCAGTCAAGGAAGGCGAACTGAATAAAATTAAATTAAATTTTGAAAAGACTCCCCATTAGTTAACTTCTGTTTCAGTTACTTTTCTCTTTTCCCTTTTCATATGTTTGTACGGGCCCTTTCTCTGTTATTTATTGCTTTCCTCATTTTACGTGCTGTCTGGTAGTGGGGATGTGTTCAGTAGGTCCATGATAGGGTTAGCGTGTGCCACATCATTAAACAGTGGCCGAATGCATCCCTCAGTTTCAAAACTCTAATGGATTATGGGCAAACTAAAGACATCTTGATGGTTTTTGTCTGTTTTGGTGTTGAATACGAAGGAGAGGATAAATCTGTTTTAATTCAGAATTCAAAGAAGAAAGCTGGGGAATTTAATCAACAACCTCAGGAATTAAATCAATAAATAAGCAAATCTTCCACATGCGGGCACTTTATTTTCAAGCTCCTTTTAGTGTCTGGCCACAACTTACCTGGTCACCATTCCCTTATGCAACAAGCACTTCAAGAAATGTATGCCATTTAATTGGAGCCACCTTCATAGCAAAGTCTGTCTTCGTTTGAAGGGCAGACACATAATATATCATCTGTTTTGTACCTTTATCTGAAAAGTGCATGGAAATACTCAGTAATCCACATGTTTGTTTCATCTTTACCAGGTCTGGTTCCATAACAGATTCAGAACAGAACAGCTTCTAGATACTTAATGCACTTGAACTAAAATATATTCCCAGAGGACTCACAGTGATTTGCATCAATTGTACATTTTGCAAATAAACATTTGAATGCTTTAGAAAAAAAATCTGTCCATCTATCAGTGAAAGGAACCGATTGCAAATACTAAGAATCTAAAATTGGGGGTGTATTTCTTTCTGATCTTTTATTGTTGGTTACATTAGCTTATTAAGTACCTTGCTTGTTAAGAAAAGGCCATTGCCCTACTTAGTCTGATTAGGTTTCTAGAGAGCTTATCAGAAGTTTTTCTTCCTAGAATAATCGTTATTATTAGAAATCATTATTAATGTCACAAACTACTAGGTAACACTCAATATGCATACTCCTGATCTTACTGACAGGATTATGTAAACCTTTTCCTTGTATTTCTTCTGTTATTTGGGGTCGCCATTATTATTAGGTAGTTTACTTGATTTTTGTTTATTTACCCATATATATTGTTTATTAGGCTTTCAGCAGAGAGGCAAAATAATTTAAGGAGATGATTCTTGGATGTGTTTGAAAGGAGAGTAATATTTCCACTACTGATCAAGAAGATAGGATGTAGTAGCAAATAGAAATTTTTAAGGGTCAGAACAAAAATGCACAATCATATATTTCAATAAAATCAGTGTGCTTTCAAGTAGAAGCCACAGAGTTGGGTTTGGGGGATAACTATAAAAGAAAGTCCCTATTTCAGAAACTACATAATTGCTAATTAAAAAGCTCATCAGAACAAAAAATGGCAGGTCTGCAGTGTGTACAAAGTGGAAGATGTAGCTGTGACTTTACAACATGAAGAAGAAGAAAGATGCATGACCAAGGTACAGGTTTAGAATGGAAAAATCTCAATAACTTATGACCAGTCATTCATTGTAATAATATGTAAACTCCTAACAATGCAATACATTGAACAAGTCAACATATGGGATACAGTCATCAAGCGATTTTCTTAATCTCCCATTTTTTTTCAAACAATTAGAAACAAATCTTCATCAGTAGGTATTAGATAAGATATGGTACATTTATATAATAGAATATATATGTCATTTTTAGAATGAAGTAGATAAACATATTTGGACTTTGAAAGATGTCTAGATAGTTGTTATGTAAAAAGAAAAGCAAATTACAGAAGAGAATGTAGAGTATAAACTATTTGGTAAAAATATCAAATCAGTAGGTATGACAGATAATATGTAACATATATTAGATACTACATATCAAGATGATGTATATTATATCATATATAATTATATAATTATTATAATATAAAATATGTATGTATAATAGATAACATCTTTTCACTTCTTTAGGTTGGGATTATAGGAAACTATTTGTAATTATTATAGGTTGGGATTATAGGAAATGTTAGTTTTTTTTAATTCATTTCTGTGTGTGAATTGTTTACAGTAAGCATGCTTTTATTATATAATCCATACAATTTATAATACAAAATACATAAAATTTCAACATAGAAAAGAACTGAGAGAAATATACTAACATGATTACAATAATTATGTCTAGTTGATGAAACCATGAAAGATTTTTAAAAATGATTTATGCTCTAACAAATCTTATTCCATGTGTATATGCCACACTGTTTTAAAAATCAATTTATTTAAACTAAGTCAAAATCAAAAACAAAAACAAAAATAGTCCACCCATTCTCCCATCCTCCACACCCCACCTCTGGCAACCACAAATCTGTTCTCTATATGTATGAGCTTTTTTAAAATTCTTTTTTTAATTTCCATATATAAGAGATATCATACAGTGTTTTTCTTCTCTGACTTATTTCACTTAGCATAATGTCCTCGAAGTCCATCTGTGTGGTCACAAATGGCAGTATTTCATACTTTTAGGACTGAATAATATTCCATTGTGTGTGTGTGTGTGTGTATGTGTGTATGTGTGTGTGTCACAATTTCTTTATCCATTCATCCATCATCACTTAGGTTGTTCCCATATCTTGGCTATTGTAAATAATGCTTCAATGGACATGGGGGCACATGTATCTTTTTGAGTTAGTGTTGTAATTTTCTCTGGGTAAATACCCAGAAGTGAAGTTGTTGAATCATATGGTAGTTCTATTTTTAATTTTTTGAGGAACCTCCACACTATTTTCTCCCATTTTAAATACCTGCAGAGGGCAAATTCTTTCCTTGCCCTTGGGTAAAAACAGGAAGCCCCCACAAAACCAGTGGCTAGTTACTCTATCTCATTCAAATAATAAAAATATCTATTCCCAGGAAAAAATTAAGGTACAAATTTGATTTAAAGTCAAGTGAGACTTTTTTTCTTTTCCAATCTGAATCTAGAAGCAATCTTGAAATTTGGCAAAGTGAGCAACAGATTACTTTTTTTTTTTCCCATCCCTCCTTCCAAGCTTACTAACCTGTCTTTTTCTTTTCCCTCTATAGCTCTCCTATTCCTTGCCATCAGCATCTGGGTCAATGATGAGCAGAAGTAAGGGGTAAAGGAAATCTCTCTGTGGACACTGAGGTAAGGATTGACTGATTGTCTCTGGATTTGACAGATATTCAAAGCTGACTCACTTTTGTAGGCTCTTCAGAAACCATCCCCATCCATTTGAAGAATCATTCACCTATAGTCCTTCTGACAGAATTAAATGCATCTCTACTTCTGCTGGTCCTTCCATTTTCATCACTAAGAATCCACGTCACTTCTGCGTTTCCCTGGCTAAAGCCTACTTGTCTTTCTAGAATGTCTTTTGGACAAGACCTAAATGACCATGAATCTCTTGCCCTTAGATCCTCCAGTCTTCGTGCTCCTTCAAACTTCAGGAAGGCGCGTTAAATTTTAAATGCTCTCCTGAAGTCTCTTAATTTATTTAAAAAGGGATAAAAGCTGCACTCCTTTATGGATGGAGGAGACTCCTAATCCCCCAACAAATCTCTCTACATGAGGTTTTTGAATAATTTCCTCCAAGTTCTTCTAGCTTGTTTTGAAATTTGGAGATGGCAACCAACCTCGTCTTCCTCAGTGAAGCAGGACAGCGAGAGAGATTTCCAGCTTGGCTCATTCCAAGGAAATCATTTAAAATCCTTTCTCAAGTTCAAAGTTCCCTCATCATATACTTTTTATAAGTGAGGAAGTCAAAGGTTATTCTAATGTAGTTCATCAACTATTCTAAACCTTTTCATTGCTTTTTAGGCTCTCCTTTGGAGTTCACCTCATTCATTTTAATATTTTTCTTTGTATTCTGCCTCAAATAAATTGTGATGTTCCTTATAATGTTAGAATTGTACTATGAAAAACTCTTGTATTCATTTTTATGAACTATTACAGTAGTATAATTTCTTTCATTCATCTTTTGTTATCATGGTCCATCCTATTAAATGTTCTGGGAATATTTTTTTTCTTACGTGGACTCCAACTCTCTTAATCTTCATCAAAATAATATCACGTCTCATTACCAAAACAAATCATTTTCTTTTAAAGTCTTTTATTATGCTCTTTTCTTCATTAAAACACCATCAGTCTCATCCCTAATGCTAAATCATTGTGAGTGAAGGAAAAGTTCACTCAACTTCTCTATGTGAATTACAAAATCAATTACAACATTGTCAAGGAAATATTGATATAAATTGGGATGAATATCCAAAATGAAATAATACTGAAATGATATATGCAGCCTGTTGAGTAATATTTGAGATTACTAATTTTCTGGGAATACTCATTCTCTCAATATTTAAATTTCAAGCAAAAACACTTGAGATGAAGCAGACTTTATCCTCATGGGTACTATCATTACATGATTATCATTTAAGGAAATGGTACATATACTAATATTTCAGACCTTTATAATAATTGTGTGCTACTAAACTTAGCTGTTTTATTTGCTTAAAATTTTTGGACAGCTTTTGTGAATATATACATTAGTAAGGAAGATTTTCCCACTTTGTCCTGAGATTTTGCTTTCGGGGTGGAATAGAAGAAATTGTTTGTTTCTCTTCTCCCTCCTTCTCTTCTTCCCTCTCTCCTTTTCCTCCTTTTTTCTTTTCAAGATATATTTAAGTGAAAAAGGAGTTGATATATAAACCTATTTTCGCTAGATCATTCTCATTAGCAACGTACATCACATCTACCCAAAAGTTTGGTACAATCAAGTGTCCACAGGCCATTTACTATAGGAAGTCAGTATTTGCAAGCCAGAAAGGGACGTAACACCTAATACATTCCATATTACTCAATTTCCTCCCTCTACACAGAGAAAAGACATAGGAAAGAGTTTATGCCCAAATGCCTCAGACTGCTTACTGTTAAGTGGGGGGAAAAAAAGTAATTCGGAAGTGCTTTTAAGAGAAATTAGTTTCACTTGTCAACTGTCATTAAGATGGATTACACTCAGCTGCATTGCAGAAGCAGCAATGAAATCTAACATATTTGCAGCCAAGACAATAGTGTGCATATTTTTAAATTGCATCAGGTAGGGCCTATTATTTAAGATTCGTTGCTATTGTCATTGTCACAACATCCTACATTATTCAAACCAAGCATCAATTCCATTAGTCAGTCTCTCCTTTGCTGTCAAAGATGCAAATACAGGTTTGTATTGCTTAGAGTAAATGCATCATCTGAATGGAAATGTGTCAAAAGATATTAAATGATATAAGGTATGATTTGTGAAATAAAATCAAATAAATATATGAGTCCCTTTCTCTCCAAAAAAAGGGAAATTCATTATTTAAAAAATCCCATAAGATTATGAGCTCAAATATAATCATCTTTGTGTTTCTACCATTTGAAGAATAATAGGTGTTCTCCAGTCTCATACTTAATAGATGCTCAATATATATTTTTTAATACAATATTTAATGAATGAATGAATGAAAATCAAAGAATGTATTGATATTAACAATACATTAAGGAAATAATTTGACCTATTAACATTTCCCTGTGTGTTCAGGAAACTATGAAATAAACATACACCATTCCAAATCCCCAAACATTCTATAATGAGTCATATTTATGTCAACTTGTATGCTTAGGAATTGGCAATATTTCACTCTATTGAACAAGAGTAAAGTGCTGCCATAATTAACTATGTTTGAATAGATGTTCTTGTACGCCTGCTACTTGCATGCTTTCATCAACACGTACATCCAGGGGTCCAAAACACCAGGGGAAATTACATCTTTTGTTGCTGAAAAATATTAGATCAAGACCCATTTCATGAGTTAAGGATGAAACCCACAACACTTTCCCCAGAGCTGACCTGAGGCTATCCATCAAAAATGGATACTGGTCAACCGCTTTCAAAGATTTTTAGCTACACTGTCACAAAAGTGATTCCATTAAACCTTTAAAACTATTAGTTAAATTTAATCAGGTTAATAAAATAGCCTATCTAGCTTGCTTAAAAATTTAAATAAATACTATAAATATTTGCATCTATTCAACTGATTATGTAATTCTTTTACACCATTATATCTTTATAGTTAGAAAACAACTGGCTTATTTTAAGTTACTACCACTGCTTATTATATGAATATTTTGCTAAGTATTTTTAAATTTGCATTAATGCCTCATGAAGTCCAGGATAGTTTGAACTAAAGTTGAAAAACAGAATTTGTTTGCAGTACTAAGAACTGAAAATCTTATTATTTATTAAGTATCTACTACGTTTTATGGGCTCTATTTTATCTTTCAATTTAATGAGTTTGGTGTTATAATCTTTATTTCATGACTGAAAAAGACACTCAACAAGTTTGGGTAACTTGCCCATGTCTAGACAACTAGTAAGGTATATTCAAACCTTAGCCTTTCACTATGCCATCATCCCTCCACTTCTGGTGGAATGAATTGAACATCCTCTCATCGATGAACATCACAGCCAGGCTATCTTTCTATTGCATCCAAAGCTATTCCATGCCTTCCCTTTAAGGTCTCTCTTCAAATAAAAGTACAAAAGACTATCAAATATATAAATAAATTCGTAGAATGTTGTGGGATAACGTGTATTCTGCACTTTTAATAGTTCCATCCATACGAACAAAGCCAATGGTATAATATCCCTGGCCTGTCTTTCTTCCCCTGCTTATGTTCCCTCTGGGGAGGTATAGTCACTTATCTGATTGATACATGGGGAAGAGCAGATTTGGAAAAACAAAGCTTGACCCTGCAGTTCCCTTATTCCTCTTAAACAAGCTACCTGTTAGGATCAGGAATTCTTTCCTGCTTTTTAATGTCTGAAGTACGACCTAGACAAGATTCAACTGTGGCAATGCCCGCCCTAATCCAGCCTATGCTTGCCTGTATCTGGGCTTTATATGTTATGCACATTTTGTTCTCATACTAATCACTATCCACCATCTTAGCCTTTATCAGAAATAACACTAAAATTGGATCAGCACTTAATACTTCTTTATTTTATTTCCCAATTTGTATTCATTTGGGTTAAATAAAAAAATGCTGTTTATTAGTTCCCCTCAGACCCTTCAGAGAACCTCAACAAATGATAAAAAAAACACATGTAAATTTACCTACATAGGGACATAAATACACAAACACACAAAACCAGAAATCAAAAAAAAAACCCTTTATTAATTACTATTTTTAGATAGTACTTTGCTATAAGAAGTCAGTGATTTGCCTAGTTTTATTGGTCTAGTCTTATTTTCAATATTCAAAGAGAAAAAAATGAGTGATAGCATGAGTACTATATGCAGTATTGATACTTTTCTCTCTACCTCTTGTATTTGCCAAATTATAACTCACACGTTTGGTGTTTTCACTGAAATTAAACTTAAAAAAACTTTTAAAAAGACCACTTTCATGCTTTATTTAAGCAACAACCTGCTGTGTTATAAACCTGTGAAGGGAAAAATTGATGCCTGCTATTTTTTTTCTTTTTGAACATATGGGAAAACATACATTTAACTACAAATGACATAAATATTGACATACAAGTGCCTATTCCTATGTCGGGCATGAAATATTTAATTTTAATGACCTAAATATTTTACGTTAGCATCTGTTTTTGCAAGCATATGCTTATAAATTACACTGGCATTCTGAATAAAATATCTTCCTAAACAGCAAAGTTTAGGTAACCCACAGGGTTCAAGTACATAAGTACTGTGTTTATGTTAGAGATACCTCATATTTTTCTTAGTATTTTGATAGAGCTACTATATTTTAACTTAACTTCACAGTAATAATATAGCACCTTTGGGATATACATGTCTGTATAGCTAGGATTTCAACACCAGAATAATTTACATCAAAAAATCACTTCTGATTCAATTCTGGTGTTTGCCTCTAAACCAAGATGGGAATAAGAAAACAAAAATTTAAATATGACTACTTGTGAAATAACTTACTAATCAGATGTGACCTATGCTCACTCTTTCATTTTAGCTCATCTGGTTCTCTGCTTCACTACTGCCAGGATTTCAACTTACCATGTTATGTAATGTGTAGGATAGAAAGCAAGTCTCAGTAACTAATTTTTACATGCACGTTTTGGCACTTAAGCA